TCATATCTCAGCTCAGTCTCCCCGCTGGCAGGTTCAAGCCATTCCCCTTGTCCTGTCCCTACATCCCTTGTCCAAAGGCCCTCTCCAGGTTTTCTGGAGTCCCTTTAGGCACTGGAGCTGCTCTAAGGTGTCCCCTAGAGGAGCCTTCTCTTCTCCAGGCTGAACAGGTTCTCTCTCCTCACGTGCAGCCACAGCAGTCGCTGTCACCATGATTAATGTCATTGAGCTTTCTCCAGACAAGCCGTAACTGTTAAATTTTACCCTAAAATTATCCTCATCTGAACCCATCTATTTCTCACTAAATTGCCACTGGAGAACCTGTTCAGGTACAACAGGGGCTGAGCTGGACATTCACCTGACACTAGACCCAACCTTAGCAGTGTTGGTTTGGGCTTTTTTTTAAGTATCACAAGACTAAAGCTGATTCTTCTCCTCCCTGTTTCTCCTGAGCCCTTGGCTGTGCCTGGGGCAGAGGATGCCTCCCTTCGCTGTGGGGGACATGGGGGCTCCGAGCCCTCAGAGCTTACTTCACACTTCATTTCTTTTCATCCGAGAGTTGTGTTGCTCTCTGTCTGTAACCACAGCTTGTTTCTCAGCTGAGCACACTGCAAACTCTTAATCTCTTTCTTCTCTTCCATTTTTTCCTCTCTTCCCTCCCCTTTTCAGTTTTTATTTTTGTTTTTATTTTTCTCTTTAGCTTTCATTCTTTGGTCATAGCCCTTCAGGCCACGTGCAGAAGGTAAGCCTCAGACCGCCTCTTGTCTGCCCTCTTCTTGTAAAGCTTCCCCTCGCTACTCAGGCTGCTTTGGCAGTACTGGGGGTTCTGGGTGCCCCAGATAACCCCAACATGGAAATCTCTAAAGCCTGGAGAAGATGTGAAACCTGGTCACCAGGAAGCTACACCTTGTCCAACAGAATTTCCTTCTCCAGAGGGAAGGGCAGGGATAGATTAAAACCCAGCAGGCTGAAAAGCAAGGAAGCTTCTAGCAAAGCAGGGTGAACCTGCAGTCTGTGCTGACTACATCAGGGGGTTCTCCAGCTGATTCTTGCTGGAATCCATGGAAACCCACTGCCCTTCTCCCTGCACAGCTCACAGCTGGGCTGAACCTCTCACATTGGCTTGTCCTGCTTCAGGCTGAGCAACCAGAACACTTTGGGGGTAATGTGTCATTTATAAATGTTTCTCCAAGCATCATGCCATAGGGCCCTCAATCTGCCTAAATCTCCCTTTTCCCAGGTGAATAGGAGATAAACTGCCTATCCATTTGTGCTTCCAGACATAGCACCACATCATGGGTGGCATTGAGGGGAACGTTCCCCATTAGACATCAATGTCAATAGAACATAACACAGACCCTTTGCTATCAGTTGTACAATTCAAGTGGATAATCATAAATATAACCCTTACAGAAATGTCCTGTGTGTCATTTTTCCCAGCTATACTTTTCTTTGATCTGTGTTTGCCTATCTTGTCTTGTTTCAGCCTTCTGAGGAGGCTACAATTACTTCTGCTGTTGCTAACATGAAGACAGCATTGATTACCAAGGCAGAAAGAGAGACTTTGCCACTCCAAACCCCACAGACATCTCTCCTATTTTGCTTCTGGCGATGGGAGGTGCAGCCTCTCTGGGCCTTGCAGACTGAAGCTGGACTGGGGTACGTGGCCAATTCTGCACAGGGGACATGTGCACCACTGAAATCTCTGAGTGCACATTCTGAAGAGCCAGAGCTACACCGACAAAGAAAGCCAAACCCTCTCAGTGACTGCCGGAGGAAGTGCTGGCTCTGCTGCTCGTGGAGCTGTCAGCTTTACCTAAGGAGCGCTATTCTGATTCAGATCAACTGAATTCATTTGGTTCCCTGCTGAGCAGGCAGTAAATTGCTTCTCTGGAGAAGTGACCGTGTCCTGGTTTATATGTCACGCATTTGTATTTGTTATTCAGTTAGTTCAAAATCTGTCTTGGAAGAAGAATTTAGGAAGTGTTTCGGAGAAGTAACTCATGAGAAGAGAAACGCGAGTGGAATGAAGTGTTTTGTTCCAAGTTATTTCTTCATAACACAGGGTATGTCCGATGGTTTGTTGCATATCCCACAAGTCCAGTTCTAGGGAAGAACATGAAGCTGTGTTCAGGAAATCCAGCTGTAGGATTCTGTTGCGTTTTCAGTAGACCATGGCCCGCAGCACGATGAAAAGTGGCACAATAAGTTACAATGTGCTATCCCTGAAGGATGACTAAAGGCTTAACATCGTCCCAGCAAAAAGCTTGACCTGGACAAAAGCGAAGGTAAAACACATGATCCCTGATCCGCACACTCTGGGCTGGGGGAGGCAGCAAGAGGGAACAGAAGATCTCACCACTGTGAGAGTGGGGAGCACGAGTACCACAGAGTCCTCGTCCAGGCAGCTGCTGCAGACACCAGGAAGGGAAATGGATCCTCTGGAAAAACAGGCAAAGGAGGGAAATTCCAGAAGAAATCACACAGTGTGATTCACCCCATGGGAACCGCAGCCAAGTGTCCAAGCCTGGGGCTGTTGGGGAAGGCCAAGGGCAAGCTCCTGTCTGCAGCGTTCCCTGGATGTGGAGCAGTGAAGCTCCCCGAGGCACAGGATGTGATGGAGGAACTGCCCGTCCCTTTGAAGCACGAGGCAGGAAGGAAACCCAGAGCTCCCAACAGGTAGGATTGACTAATAACTGAAACCCATGCATTATAGGCTTATACGGACCATGTCCCTTCTTTACATGGCTGGTAGCCTCTGGCTCCAGTTAAAATGCTTCTCATGAAGCATTAGTCTTTATCTAAACATTATTTATTTATCTCTGGTATACTTTAGTGATTTAGGTGTTGAATTTCAGCATGATATCATCACAAATGCTGACTTCATGGGGTTAGACCAGTTGTCACTCTTATCAAAAAGTAGGGAGCCAGTGGAATACGCTGTCAGATTAATGCGAGCAGCAAGCACTCATGCTGCTTTAGAAATAGACATTTTAAATGCAAATACTTTTCATTTTGGATTGGAAAGACACAGAGCATTCAGAAAAGTATTCTAATTCACAATTTCACTTCTTTTTTTCCTGATTTATGCTGGTAATGAGTTACTTGGCTGGAAAACATGGGGACAGCAGCACTCCTGGTATGTGCAGTGCTCCTGTTGATGGGAGTTAATGGACCCACTGTACAGAAGGAAAAAGGAGACTGGAACCAGTGTGTGCTCAGGACATGGAGCTGCTGCTTGGTGGGTTGTGCTGTTTTCAGCAGTTTTCGGACATTGTTTAGGCCATTGCCTTAGTAACTTTAGTGTGTTCAAGTCATGAGGGAGACTGGGGACTCCCAGGGTAGGCAGCACTTGTGTATTTCCAAATAAGTAAGTTGTCAGTTAGGCTAAGAGACATTTTTCTTGATATGAACTTCTACATTTATAGAAGGGGCCTGAGCAGCCAAGTAGTTTTTCCAAATATCATAGTTTAATTTAAAACATTATTGTAACTCAATTTGATAATGGTTTATGATCTCCAGAGCTCCCTTCCAACCCTGACAATTCTGTGATTCAAAAGAAATAACACCTGAAACATGCTGAAGTCCAGCTTTGCATAAGGAAGACCTGTACTTGAGGCACGAGCTTGCTTATGAGTGTATATATCCTTTAGCAGCATGTGTCTAAGCATATCTTCAGTCAAATCTAACTGAGATTGGGAGTTTACATAAAGTCATAATTCCCAATATCTGATCTAAATCTAATAATCTTTAAATATTGCCTCCCTGAAGAAGGATCACACTGGGGCAATGATTCGGTTTGATTCATGACTGTAAATGTTTCCTATTGGTAATAGAAGGCAGTACTGTAATTACAACCTTAATTACTTCAATCTTAATTAAAACATTGAAAGTAGTGCTATTAAAAGAAGATTACATACCACTTTTCAGTGACAGAAGGATGGAGAGAAGCTCCTGTGTTTACCTGCTCCCATGGAGCAGTATTTCCTACTGCAGCAGCAATTGGAAATGTCAATGGCAAATGCTCAGATCCTGCTCTTTGGCACTGGATCATCAGTGTGAGTGCAGTGGGCAGGTGGCATTCCCCTGGCAAGTGTCCACCCAGGTCCCGTGGGTCACCCCCTTCTGCTCCCGTGCTGGGGGCTGTCTGGTGTGAAGAGAATTACTGTTCCCTAAATTACTTTGTATATCAACTCCATAATCTAACGGTTCTTTTCTACTGGAGTACTTCAGTGCTCAGAAGACATTGGGATTTTATTAAGGTCAGCAGCACATTTTGCCGGAAACAATCCACAGGGGAGATGATGAGTTACTGCAGCTTAAATTTGCCTGTAAATGCTCCATCAGCCCCCTTCTATATATATAGAATCACAGCGGGTTAGGCAGGAAGAGACCTTAAAGCTCATCCAGTTCCAACCCCTGCCACGGGCAGGGGCACCTTCCACTAGAGCAGGTTGCTCCAAGCCCCTGTGTCCAACCTGGCCTTGAACATACATACGTATATATGTGTGTGTGTATATATATATGTATATCTCTTCAAGCATTTTGAAAGGGGTTGTAAACGCTTTTTCTCACAGGGGTATACAGAGAAAGGCTAATGAGCTACACGCTTAGAATACTAACTGGCAAGTCTGTGCTGTGCAGGGTGACCCAACATACCTTGGTTCAAAGAGAACTGAGTAGGGGAAATTCAAGCCACCAGGATGACTCCAGTTGAGGGAGCGGCGTTCCCAGGAGGATATAAAGGACAGGACTCGAAGGTTGCTGATTTTCACTGCGCTGCAAATCTTGTGTAATCCCAGGAAAGAGCAGAATTCGGCTCAGTAAAAATGATTTCCAGCAGATTAGTAACTGTCAATTTATATGAAAGTGTTGGGTGTCTTGTTCCCAATATTTCTGCTTTAATCTTGCACGGGTTGTTACAGACTGAGGTGCATGGAACTGACAGTGTCAGTCTGAATTTAGAGCTGAGCTGAGCTGCATGTCCTGGGGCGGGAAGAACAGCATCATTGGTGCTGACGGATGGCTCCAGCACAGGGAAGGTTCCAGGCACGTCTGGGGAAGCTCCTCCATCACAGAGAGGTCTTGGGTTGTAAAGAGGCTGCTGTTTGCTGTTGGCTGACTCCCACAGGAACACACTGAGCAGACCTGCTGAGGTTTTCCTGCTTTATTATGGCAGCATCTTCCCATTGTGCTTCCTGGGCAAGCTAAGAAAGGGCAGGTGCCTGGGACAGTCCTTTCCTTTATCCTCTCTACCACAGAATCATTGAATTATTTGGGTTTGAGGGACCTTAAAGATCATCCAGTTCCAGCCCTGCTGGACACAGGACTGCGGGGGGGTGTGGTGTGTGTGTGTGTCTCCCAAGAGCTGGGGATGCAGCTCAGCACTTCCAGGTCATTAGAAACGCCAGATAAACCTCCCCCAGGAGAGGAGAATGTGTCCAAGTAGCTCAGACCTGTGACTGCCTTCTGCAGATCTGTAGAGGCAGATGTA